AAGGACCAAATAAACATAAATGGTGCCCCAAGTAATCCAATGGGATCCAATAGTGCTCCAAATCAAACAAGTAAGTCACAACAGGACTCAATGTGCTAAAGAAAAAACCTACCACCGGAACTAAAAATCAGTTCCCACCATATAACACAAAACACACGTGCATCCCAATAAACGCATAAACTAAGAACTGATCATGCAAACAAACATGAATAAATGTATAAATATATAAAGTCCCGTGAAGTGTAAAACACCTGACAATATACAAAAAACCATATATAAAGTCCACAGCAATTCTTGAAGAAGGAAAAAAAAAAGTGATGATAACTGTGCAGAGATATCCAAAAATGGCTGACTTGCCCGCTCACCTCCCACTTGCGACCCGCACGAGGTCAAAAGGCCTTCAGGATCACTAACACATGGACCCTGAATAGTAGGTAATCCTCCACAGCTCTCCACACTGACCTCCCCTCATGTACAGATTCCAGCACAGGCTCACAGGGCATCAGATCTCCTCTTCAGGCACATAAGGTGGCTGCAGCCACTTGATCCCTCAGAAAATATAAGTGAATGCTTGCATAGATTGATCACATTGATAGCAAGCTGAATGCAGTGGAACTAGGATAACAGAAAATAGAAGCACAGAGGGTTTTCAGTTTATTGGCCAGAATCAACAATCAAGGGTCAAGGGCAGTGGTCTCCTCATTAGATATAGGGGGCCCAAAGTGTGGCCCCTGGCATCACCGTATAGGAGCTCATAGTACTTGTATGTAATGCTATAAAAATGTCAATGTTTCAGGCCCTTTATACATACTGTAAGTGCTACCAATTTTTTTAAAATGACTGTATCTCATATTCTTTATAGTAAGATCTATTATAAAGGACAGATGAAAAAAATACATAACATGAAAAAAAAGAAAGGAAGGAAGGAAGGAAGGATGGACTGCTGTTGTCCTCTGGCTGCATGTTGAAATTGGTAGTCTTTAATCAGCCTGTAGCCTGTAATCAGAATGAGACACAATGTAGACATAGTATAAGGACCCATTCACACCAGCCCAATCTACTGAGATACATTAAACACATGCATGTAGCAATTTCAGCAATGTACTATACTGCATTGATGCACATTCAATGTCACTTTAAAAGGATATATGGATACCTTTTATTTTCCAGTGTATCTGGATAGGGGAGGAACTGATCCAGACTTCACAGGTCACATGATCTCCACTGTGCAAAATGTCCTTGGGAAGTGACAGATGATTCTGAAAAGTCCAAGTGGCACCAGTTCCCTCCCTAAAAATTATTCTGCCCTTGTAATGTGTTCCAGAGATGTTCCAGGTCATCTGAACTGTATGATGAGAAGTGATAACTATACAAGCCAGCTGGATAACAGTACTGGAAGGAAGGACATGAGAAGGAGCCAGGAGATGGATGGAACTGCTGAGTTTTGAATTGTCTGTGAATGAATAACAAGGTAATAGAATATAACAAATTAGTACTGTAATCCCCATGAAACACAAGCAGAGCTGAGAGTTCTAAATATCTGCCAGTCTTATATTAGACATCATCTTATAAGAAGTGTACCTAAAATTCAAGGTTAGTCAATTTCGGTTTAGGAACATTAGAGAAGTTGTTGGAAAGTACAGTTTTTAACTGGGTTGCTTCACAGAGATAAACCTGCCCTTTGGACATTTTTAGTCTGATGATAAAAACTATCTCCACTGACTTACCCAAGTCCACCATCCAGGTCCCTCGCTGGTGTCATTTCTGAGTGTTAGGGAATGAAAACCCATTGCCACAGATGTGCCTGTGCCAGATGGGCCCTGATGGTCCCCTCTCTTGTTGGCACCATTAAGACTCTTTTTTGGTCCTCCATACAAGCAGTGGAGGACTGAGCATTGTCACATTGTTTTTTTAATTTGAATACAATTTAAAGGCCACATACTGCATGGATTAGTTTGCTTGATGGATGATGCACTCTCTGTGCAGATGAGTAAATATAGAATATAAGCAATCTGATTCCTCCATGTCAGATCTAAAGTGTAGAGATTGGACAGATGGTCTGTCCCTGAATGCAGAAACAGCAATAAAAGCTACATGTTAGATAAATCTATAGCTTTATCTTTGCTTTAGGTGCAATATTCAGCTCTTTATTACTTAGCTTTCTTAATACAACATGAAGGGCAATGGGTGCACCAGTGGACCAACTAATGCCTGATATCACTGGCCTAAACCACAAACTCATGACTTGTTTTATATACTATCAAAGCTAATTTTTCCAGCTGTCAGGATAAAAATGGTGGATGATTTAAGTCCATTTGATTAAAAAATGGCAAATAATGCAAAGCCATCTTTCTTTTTTACAGCAATCACAGTAATCTACCATACAAAGGTAAGGAACCATAAGAAGACAAGAGTTCTAGTAGGCCTTATAATGGGGATTGCAGGTGAAGGGAACAATAAAATTTTGCAAATCATTACTTTCTTGGTTGGGCCAATGGGCTAAAGGATGTTAAATTTGGGTCAATGGGTAAGAGATGTGTGTAGGAAAATAAGTGGTTAACTGCAGGTATAGGAGGTTAGCATAAGGAGTAGAAGTATAGGGTGAAGGTATACTTCGGGCAGGGTCCTATTATCTGTGCTAGGCTCTCTGTTGGAAAATAACAGCAACAAACTCTAAGCATCAAAAGCTAACGTACTATTAAAGTGCTTAAGAAGAAATATTACTCCTATCTATAAAGCATTCATGGGTATATATGACTTATAGCAATGTGTTTTTCTTACCTCCGACAATTAGAGTTGTCCTATTCACAGATATCATTTGCTTGGCATTGGCTGTTTTATAATTTGTTTTACAGAAATATATTCCAGAATCACTTTTCTGAAGGTCGTATATCAACAGATTCACATTTCTTCCCAAATAAGTTGACTCACAATCATATTTATGGATATTTTTCTCCATACACAGTCTCTAACTAATATTGGAACTTTGTCTGTTCTCTGGGGTATCCTGTACCAAGCAATGTAATTCTTTGCATCGAGCAGCTGATCCGATGTACAGGAAATTCTTGCTGTATCACCAGCTGGAACAAACAGGACATCTTGAGGCTGGTGCAAAACTGCTTCAACAACCAACACTACAAAGCAATGAAAAATTATCTATATGCCAATCTAATACAATTTATTATATAATACAATATAATCTAAAATAACATCATAATATACTGTCACATTTCAATATAAAATAATATTAGTAGTAGTATAGTATAATATATAATATAGTAGTAAATCCATCCTTTCTGATAAAAGGTAACTTATAGCATAAATCAACTATGTATATAAACATCATATATACAGTACATATATATATAAATTGAATTAAGCCTTTGTCTAAAGACTTTTAAACTACAATCCCTTTTTGCAACTACTTATATTTGAGCAGTATATATTAAGCTGTGTTAAATATAAATGTTAAATATAAAAAGAAAAATAGTTTAACACCTTCCCGCCCAGCCTATAGCAGATTGACGGCTGGGGGGGGGGGGGCACTCCTCCTTATGACTGGGCGTCATATGACGTCCCGTCAAAAGGAGCTGCTCATGTGACCGCTGTGACCAATTGCAGCAGATCACATGTCAGTTGTATACAATGGGTGGCTTCCTGTCATGCCACCCATTGTATACAATTGTGTTGTTAGCTGTGATTGGTCAAAGCAGTCATATGGTACAGACAGGGCCAATTACAGCCAATCTGTATCATGTGATGAGCTTTGCCCAGTAAAAGCTAATCACAACAAAAGACTGAATGAATCAGTTTAATTCAGTAACAATGATTGGAAATATCAATGAAATACATTGGTATTAACAATCATAATGTGTAAAAAGAAAAATAAAATACTGATCACTTGCCCAGAGTAGTTCAGTGTTACTATGGTAATATTGTATTGCTTTGGTCACAGTGTGTTGAAAAAAAAATAGTAAAAAAAAGAATAAATAATATAATAAAAAATTTAAAAAATGGAAAAATTTGAAAAAAATAAAAATTAAACTATTATTATTTATTTTATTTTTTTTACATACTGTCACCAGTCAGTGTCCCTGACCACCGCCACACCAGTTATATAATAACGCTGTACTGGACTGGTGACAATATGTTAAAAACAAATTGTGATTTTTATTTTTTTAATTTCTACATTTTCCAAAAAATTGTAAAAAAAATTACAACCTCCAAAAAACTCACCCTGGCTCTTACTAAATATCTTGTACTGTCTATTTTCCAAAAAAGGGTGATTTGGGGGGTATTTGTACTATCCTAGCATTTTTGGGCCTCAAGAAATGAGATGGGCCATCAGTACATTAGGACTGATCAAGTGTCAGATATACCGTATTTTTTGCTCCATAAGACGCACTTTTTTTCCCCCAAAAAAAGGGGGGAAAATGTCAGTGCATCTTATGGAGCGAATATGGAGCGGCTGGTCCGGTATTTCCACCGCCGCTGTGTCAGAATACTGGGCCGGCCGCTCAGCTCTGCAGCGGGACCTAACCTGTTCCTCTATCCAGCGGCGCACTGTCTTCCCGGCTTCTGTAGTGTGGCCGCTCGGCTTGACAGCCGGGTGCCAAGTGCGCATGCGCAAGAAGCGGTGCTGTTTGTGAATGGTAAGGCGGCACCTGGGACACATGACAGGTCCCAGAAGCCGCCGGTCCAATCACAAAGCGCAGCGCTTCTTGCTCATGCGCAGTGGGCACCCGGCTGTCAAGCCGAGCGCCCACACTACAGAAGCCGGGAAGACAGTACGTGCCTGGATAGAGGAACAGGTAAGGTCCCGCTGCAGAGCGGACACTAACTAAAGAACAACTCCGCGGAAGTAAGAGCGGGTACCTGTCAAATTCAGGTACCCGCTCCCCCCCCTCCCCAAAGGTCAGCAGTCATCACTTGTACTGTCCGCAGTCTCTGGTCATCTCCTGTACTATGTCCGCAGTCTCTGGTCATCTCTTGTACTATGTCCGCAGTCTCTGGTCATCTCCTGTACTGTGTCCGCAGTCTCTGGTCATCTCCTGTACTATGTCCGCAGTCTCTGGTCATCTCTTGTACTTTGTCCGCAGTCTCTGGTCATCTCCTGTACTATGTCCGCAGTCTCTGGTCATCTCTTGTACTTTGTCCGCAGTCTCTGGTCATCTCCTGTACTATGTCCGCAGTCTCTGGTCATCTCTTGTACTTTGTCCGCAGTCTCTGGTCATCACCTGTATAATGTCTGCAGTCCATTGGTTCAGAATATTTTTTTCCTGTTTTCTGCCTCTAAAACCTAGGTGCGTCTTATGGTCAGGTGCGTCTCTTATGGAGCGAAAAATACGGTATATTACATGGTTTGTGGACTCTATAACTTTCCTACAGACTAATATACAGCAATTTGGGGTATTTTCACCAAAGAAATGTAGCAAAATACATTTTGAACTACATTTATAAATACAATTTTATTTGCAAAATTTTATAACAGAAACAAAGAAAAAATAGTTTTTTTTTCAAAAGTTTCAGGGTTTTTTTTGTTTATTTAGCAAAAAATAAAAAACTCATGGTGATTAAATACCACCAATAGGAAGCTCTATTTGTGTGAAAAAAAAGATAATTTTTTTTATGGGTACAGTGTTGTCATTCAAAGTGCGACAACAATGAAACCTGAAAACTGGCCTGGGCAGGAATGGGGTAAAAGTACCCTGTATTGAAGGAGTTAAGTTATGAAACTTGAAGAGGGGTGGACTCATGCGCTGCCAAAGATATAAAACACCTAATTAGATTAGAATGGATGAAACATAAGTAGATAAGGTTGTGTAGCGCTAATAACGTAATCATTGACATAAAAAATTAATAAAGGACTCTATATTAAATAGGTGAATTAATATTATTATTAGTATTATTATTATACAGGATTTATATAGCGCCAACCATTTGCTCAGCACTTTACAATAGACATAAATTATACAAATGAATATAGGTGTACAGTGGTGCACCTAATGTAAATCCCAAAAACATGCCATCAAGAATGTGACTAAATATAAATGATAAGTGATTTAAGTGAAACAAATATTAACCAAATATAAATACATGTGATCATAAATGAGCAATATACATAAATCATATAGCACAAAGTCCCAAACGTATAACTGTGATGAATCAATCTTCGACCGTGAAAATGAATACGTGCTCAAGTGCATGGTTGATTAACCGTGGGCTGTATGGAAGCTGATCATGTGTCCATCCAGAGAGTGAGATTCATCCCACCTGGGACTAACTGGTGATTTGTTATGCCTTATGACTCCTTGAGGGTCAAAGATTGGAGGTAAGCGTGCACGTTAGACGGTGACAAATGGTTTGATGTACTTGAGCACGTATTAATTTTCACGGTCAAAGATTGATTCATCACAGTTATACGTTTGGGACTTTGTGCTATATGATTTATGTATATTGTTCATTTATGAACACATGTATTTATATTTGGTTAATATTTGTTTCACTTAAATCTCTTATCACTTATATTTAGTCAAATTCTTGATGGCATGTTTTTGGGATATACATTAGGTGCACCACTGTACACCTATATTCATTCATAAAATTTATGTATTCGCCCATTTAATATTGAGTCCTTTATTATTTTTTATGTCAATTATCACATGTTATTAGTGCTACACCACCTTATCTACTTAAGTTATGAAACTTGCATGATGTATATCAACTAGAAAATATCTGGATCCTCATTGCATAAACAAAATTGGTAAAGGCACAAATATTTATCCAAAAATGTATGATTACAAAAAGTTTACTTAGATATGCAAATACATGGTTTGAGGAGTTCTAACTCCCCAAAAATCCATCCAATTAAAAACTGAACAATTATTGTGAGTTTGAATTTTAAGATCTCTGTATTGGCTCCAGTGTGGTCAGTGCATTTGAAGGGGGTCTGTTGGTATAAAACGCTTTCATTCTACTCTGGCCAGAAGGTAAGGATACTGTATGATTTCAGTGACTGTATCCTCACAATGCATGTAACAACTTGGAGAATATATATCAAATGCAAACTACAGCTCCCTTTGTCAGTGAGGAAAAAACATAGGCAAAAATATATTTTTTTTAAATTAAAAAAAAAAAAATCAAGTAAAAATAATATTTACTAGACACATTCAATTCTTTAGAATCAACTCTCTATTCACAAATAGATAGAACAGAATCTCAGAGATTCTTTGCAGGACCTGGACCACAGCATTCTAAAAGATTCAAGCACCAGTTATATTTATTTTAATATTCAGTAAATAGTAATGGAAGTTATTTACTGAAGCTGTATGATGCAAAATCTGGTGCAGCTTTTCAGAGAAACCAATCGGCTTGTAGGTGTTATTGTCAATGCTTAATTGAAGCCCATTGGCCACCATGCACAGCTTAAACAAATTCTGAGTGGTCCAGTTTTAGTAAATCTCACCCGAATGTGACAAATTCTGTACACTAATTGTAACATTATTCAACAATTCTTTGTACTAAAGCATGGGATAATGTTCAGTTAATCACTTTATTCATTGCATCATATACTCCCGCATTTGATTGAATGATTAGTTAATAACCCCTAAAAACATATAGAGGAGACTTGTTTGGTCACCGAACTAGTAAACCAGTAAATCCTTTTAGCATGGAATAGGAAAACAAAATACTACTAAAATGAAGGTTGACTAAAGACAAATAAGAAACAATTTGTAAAATAAATAAATTCTTAGAAGAATACTGTATATACTACATATACAACAAATATTAATAACATAAATTTATATAATTACATCAATATATAATATTTTTCAAAATGGGGGATAACTAGAAAACACTTAACATGTATAAATTTTATGTGTTCTTTTTCCTGAATAACATAATCTATATACTTCAAAATGCTGCATAGGCAAAGCTTTCTACTTTTCTTTTTTTTTATTAAAAATTACTTTTAAGCATTTTACAAACAGTATAAAATAAGAAAGCTTTTTATAACACTAGTATATTCATCGTACTATTAAGGTACATAATGTCACATGACTTATCTTTTGTAAAAGCAGAGCACATTTACTTTTCTTATTTTTGTCTATAAAAAAATGTAATATTTTTGTCACTCTTTAAGATTTCTATGATTTGCTTGGAGAAAAGCTTTTTCTAGTCAGATTACAAAACACACAGAAGAGAAAACACAACAAAAGAGCAAATAAAAAATTGCATGATTTTGTGGGAAACAAAATGTGATTTTCAAACAATAGCATAACTCAACAATTTAGGTCCAACTGTTTAGTCTCATAAATGTTATACAATGATATTTGTGTATGTGTATCTGTAGGCTGTATGTGATTTATAATGTGTAAAAAATGCCACAAGCACTTTCTATAGGTATTTTCTTATATCACAAAATAATAGAAAACCCGTGCAAAAGAAAATAGAAGATGAAAACAAAAGTACAAGTAATTTAATAATCTCTAAGCATAAGGAATATATTTTAAGAAGAATCTGATTAAATGCATTTTCTTACCTCCAGAAAAAAAGAGAAACTCGATGATAGACATCTGAACTTTACAGAAGAGATTATTAAGATGCCCTTTATATTTCTGTATGTATACTGTTCTTATATATTTTTTTCCACCGGAAGCTTGTGGGTTTGAGAAAGCAAAACTAAATCTGCGCCCTCTAACAATACAGCCCATGTACTGAGAAATTAGATTTTTTTCTGAACTACAGTTGCTGGTTTGTATTGTTACAATGGCACTAGAGGATGTTTTTAGAATACAAGTGCCTTTCTAACACAAGTAATATAGTAATTCCTGAAGGTTGCAGCCAGTGCCGGTAGCCTATTAGAGCCTCCCTGCCATTCATGGGGTAACTGGACCTTACACGTATCTGGTTCTATATGCTCTACTGTTGAGATCTTGGCTTGTGTTCTGCATAGCTGTATACAGTGCTGGGCGAATAGTCTGGCCCCATTTAATCCCTGATCATTGTTGGAACAGTGATCCTAATCAAGGTGAATAGTTCTCTTCTAGATCACTGATTCATTTTTATGTATCTTAGTATGATCATGATCACAGGAGATGTCTAATTAGAATACTTTAGATCTCAGATGTCCAGCTTGAAGCCCTTTGGCACCTATTCTGTGGTCCTCAAAGCCCCTTCAGACAGCAGTCTGTTCTTTTTATCTTGGTGCCTACCCAAGCCAGTGAAGGAATAATATTCTTAAGGCTTGCGTCTGCTATTTAAATGATTTTGGTTTACTTCTTTTATATGCTTACCTTTCCTGAGCTATTAGTCCCTTTTCTAGGTTTATATTGTTATACAGGTGTATCACTATAAATTAGAATATCATCAAAAAGTTAATTTATTTAAGTAATTCAATTAAAACACAGAGTGATATATTTCAAGTGTTTCTTTCTTTTAATTTTGGTGATTATGGCTTACTGCTGGTGAAAACTCAAAATTCAGCATCTCAGAACATTAGAATATTACATAAGACCAATAAAAAAAAAAACAAAACAATTTTTAATACAGAAATGTTGGCTTACTATTACTACAGAAAAGTACGTATGTATACACCTAATACTTGGGGCTGTTTTTGCATGAATTACTGCATCAATGTGTCGTGGAATGGAGGCGATCAGCCTGTGGCACTGCTAAGGTGTTGTGTAAGCCCATGTTGCTTTGATAGTGACCTTCAGCTCGCCTGCATTGTTGGGTCTGGTGACTCTTATCTTCCTCTTGACGATACCCCACAGATTCTCTATGGGGTTTATGTCAGGTGAGTTTGCTGGCCAATCAAGCACAGAGATACCATAATCATTAAACCAGGTATTGGTACTTTTGGCAGTGTGGGCGGGTGCCAAGTCCTGCTGGAAAATGAAATCAGCATCTCCATAAAGCTGGTCAGCAGAGGGAAGCATGAAGTGCTCTAGAACATCCTGATAGAGGGCTGCACCGACTTTGGACTTGATAAACCACAGTGGACCAACACCAGCAGTTGACATGGTTCCCCAAAACATCACTGACTGTGGAAACTTCACACTGGTCCTCATGCAACTTGGATTCTGTGCCTCTCCATTCTTCCTCCACACTCTGGAACCTTGATTTTACTTTTATCTGAAAAGAGGATTTTGGACCACTGAGCAACAGTTCAGTCCTTTTTCTTCTTAGCCCAGGTAAGACACTTCTGACATTGTCCCTGGTTCAGAAGAGGCTTGATACAAGGAATGTGATAGTTGTAGCCTATGTCCTGGATACATCTGTGTGTGGTTGCTCTTTGGGCACTGACACAGCCATATTCCACTCCTTGTGAATTTCCCCCAAATTCTTGAAT